TGTCCCTGGCTTTTGCTTCCACAGCCACAGATGCTACTGTCCTCACACAAGAATCACAGGGATCTCCAAAACACACAGTCACATAGATGTCACTCTCTCGATCTTAAAGGAGAACACTAGCGCTCAGCCAGGAACTCGTGACCCTCCCAGTACAGCCTGGCACCGCTCACTCCCCTCTCACTTCTTAGAGATACTGGACCAGTATCCAGGAATTTGGCTTCAGAGCTTGTGCTGTGCATAAAGGTGAGCCTAGCTGTAAGTAGGTAGTTCTGCTAGCTTTGGCTACCTGGCAATAACCCAAGGCTGTAGGCAAGCACAGGTGATTATGCACAGTGGATGCCTATAGCATACCACCATCTGACCAAAATGTGTAAATCATCCGATATCCATATCCCTTTATTATGATGAATTCTAATGTGTTTATTTTGATGTATTATACAATTTTTTACGTTATATTGTGATGCAATTTGTGGCATTTTTTTAATGAATTATCATAATGTTTAAAAAGGCCATGAGAAATAAAAAAAACTCATTGAGTAATTACGCAATTAGTTTAAGTGAAGCTGAGGGATTTTGAAAGATTGTAATAATATGCAAGAATGGCTCCGATAAACAGAAACGTTTTCTCCAAGAATTTAAGCTGGTAGATATTCAGTTGCTCATTATTGGTCCATTATAATGGAATAATTTGTCATATCAAAATATCAAAAAACATGATAATGTATGTGCTTGAGTAACAGTGTTTTACAGGTCTATCATTTCCTTGCAGACAAGACAATCCCAGAGACTGTTTCCCAACACAGCCCACATTAAAAGCAGCTCCTCTGACTTCTTTAGTGGATTAGAAAAAAAGAAACATACTTTACTTATTGACAAAGTTTCTTAATGCTCAACACTCTCACCCTATCCAGGTCTTTGGACTGAAAATAATATGATGCTCCATCTTTCAAAGATGTACTTTTCCTAAAGCATTGTTGATTGCCCTGTGTCCATTACTTGGAAGGATTATGATAATATTCCACATTGTGCTCGGCGTGATGCACAGGAAATTCAATACTCAAAAGGTTAATGCAATCAATTAGGATGACAAAGGAGTAAAGTAAAACCCTCCTGCTCGTGGAAAAAAGAGACAGGAGAAGAGAGGGGGAGAAAAGGTATTGAAAGCTTGAATGGATCCGCAGAGAGAAAAGAGGCACTTGAAACGACAGAAAAATGGCATTTATTCAACGTGTCTCGTCCAAGGCCAACTAAATGAAACACACACAAAGCGTATACACAAAGAAAGAAAAAAATAGCTCTTAGATGGTGAATTGCATGACTCAGCACTCAACCAGTTGTAATTGAACAATAAAGGAGCAATATTTTTGTTTGAAGGTAATCAGATACCTAAGCAAAGGAAAAAGTGTCCGGTACTAGAGGCTCGAACATCGATTCATAATGCTCATAATGTTCTATGGACTTTTCCGCCGTTCTGAGTCAAGTTTTGTCTCAGCACTCCATTCCCATGTGCATTGTTGCATGGGCTGAATATTAACAGCACGACAATTGTGTATGGGAGAGATATCTTTTGTTATTTAGATAGATGTTACAATGCTATACAACACAAAGGAGTCTCATCATTGCAGATAAATGGATAAACTTGGATGGCGGTATTGAGCTCTACAACCATTGTAATAATCCATATTACCTTTTCAGGCTCAGTCTGTCAAAATGGTGATGTATTAATCACATTTCAGCAATCCTCCGTGGCTAATGATAATGTTATGAGAGTCTGGGTGGCAATATTTCGCTAACGTCTGCAACGCCTATTTTCTGCCGATAAGTTGTGCAAGGAGAAAAGCCTAAAACCTTGTAATCCACTTAGGTAAGGCAGTAGACTTACCTACTTCTGCAAACACACAACCTCATAAATCTACTGCACCTTAACATTCTTAAAGACTGCCGAGCTTAAAAAAATACAGCAGATCCTTCAACCCACTTTGTTTGTACCAAATGAAGACATGTCTCACAAGCCATTGCACAAGTCAAAGAACCGTGCATGCACAGGCCCTAACAGATGCTCTATATGTATTCATATGTCTCATTCACACTTGCATGAGCAAATAACCTCAAAATATATAATCTTAAGAGTCTCCAACTTAATATAATTAATAACACATCTTCAGCAAATAGGATATTTGGCATTGTTTTCTTAAGTTGAGTGATAGAAACTATGAAAAAAAGCAGTACATTGAGGATTAGACTTTGATTTCCTGCCAAACACTTTGAACTGCAGCCTTTTTAATTCTACAATTCCCAACTTCCATTCATTTCTTCAATGAACAAATAAAGAGGTATGAGGACAGCACGCACAAAAGCCAGGGTTAGGCGGTAACCAGGGCTTTATGTTTTGACCATAAGAATTCCACTTTTTTCAGGGGCGCAACTGCTGTAATTTGACCTACATCACATTTTTCTGTTTGGGCATTTTTCGGGTCCAGCAGCCACGTCACAGAAACAATGGACTAAAATGGGCTTTGAAGTCAGCGCTGAATGAGAACGGCGGGGCTGACACATGAAATGCCCTCACAGCTGGGCTGCCCCCAGTCAAAAGAAAAACAAATACTTTGAATGAGAGGGGGACACGCCGCTCCTGTCTGAGCTTCCTAAGGCCCTGAGCCACCACCGGGAGGTGGGCTTTCACGATATGCCCGTAATGATGGATGGATTGGGAGGAAAGTCTATTCACATGGAGATGTTACATCATAAATATTTACACAGGGCTGCCGTTTCCATGTAGCCTTTGCTTGTTTTGACACACTGGAAAAATTTAAAGGACAAAAAGTGTAGGAGAGAAAAAGTGCGGAAAATGAGAAGGTGGCTCTCTCGTTTTTGTTATTATACTATACAGAGTGATACAATAACACTAAATTGAGTTTCATGAGTTGTTGCTCTTTTTTCTCAGTGAGACAAATTATCTTTCCTACGGCGAACTGTGGGCTTTATTTACCTTTATCCATGACTGAATGAACTCCTGTTTATTGGAGAATCATTGCCCTCCTACACACAAACCCCGAAAAGCAAGCAAAACACTAAACAAAGTGAGTCTGAATTTCAATTATAAATTATCATCAAAACCATGTCCTTGTTTTCCATGAAGAACTACATGCAGAAAAAAACCTTAACAGAGCCCTAAAAGGGCGTACAGAGAGAGAGAGGTAAAAGGGAGACACCATTGTTGTTGGTAAGCAGCCCTACAAATTTCTGCTCAGTGAGCTCAATTAAAAGCCTTGAAGTCCCCTGAGATTGTCCCTGGAACCAATGAAAACAAATTTGGCAGTTTAATTTTCTTCCCACTGTCTAAGAGAGGGACTCCGCTCTGGGAGTGCTCTCTAGCCTAAGTCTGTGGGAGCCAAAAGGAGAGGGGGGATGTCATGCCAGCCCAGTGTTCGAGCCAGTTGGCCTTTATGATTAGTTGCATTAACATATATCAAAAGCCAATTAAACTAACTGTACTGAGTTATGTTGTTGTTATGTGGTTAAACAAGAGGAAAGTTAAGTTAGTGAATGTAGTCTGCGCTTCAGTTGAATGACACTTAACTTTGCTTCCAAAGCAACCTGTTAAAAGATGTCTTGGTGTGTGTGTGTGTGTGTGTGTGTCCACCCATGCATGCGGCTGTGGAGGAAACTTATAAAGGGAAATGTGGCTGCGCTGAATCTGCTCTCATCCTCCTGTTGCTGTTAGTCATTGTATCAATGTGGAAATCAGTGGATAGTGTCATCAACGTGTTGTAGGGAGGTACACTGGGCATGTATCTGGAGCTCTGATTGATGCAAGGAGTGTGTCTGTGTCTGGTGTGTGAGTGACACCACCAGAAACAAAGGAGTGTGGTGTAGCCCTCCGCCTCAATTCATGGCCATGCCACCCCCCGGTGATAGTGAGGGTCTCTGGCTTGACATGAGACAGCCCACGGTGTCACTTCTGAATGTTTAGATCCCTCTTGACTAGGAGGCCAGGGGCAAGGGCTGTTGTATGCATCCTCATGACAGACTCCCACATCAGCATTGTGCTCATACCAGCTAACATCATTAGCACAGAAGGTTTCATCTCAGGGAGAGAAAAAAAAGCAACCCAGTTTCTTCAAGTCACAAGTCATTAGCGTCCTCTCGAGAGTCAAATTGTACAGAGGCAGATTTTTTATCAGCAACAAAAGGTTTTATACTCTTGTTAATTTGGTGGATGTCATCTGTACTTAGATGTCTGTGTCTAATGTCTGTTACAGTAATAAATGCCATATAGTGGAAAAATTATATTATTTTGTCAAGATGACAATGTGGGACGCTGCCGCAACAACATTTAGACATAAAGCAGGCATAAAAGAATATCAAGTTATAATTAACGGAGCTGTGTAACAAGATAGATAACAGAATACGGCGTACATAGTGGCACATTTATGGTGTTAAATACATGTTTTATTACTGCCAGTGAAAAGCTTATATTATTTTAGATTCTAGTGCATTATTTTCCTATTCTGTGTTCATTAATGTATTTTTGTATTTTAAGTACTGCTCAACAACTGTTAATGTCAGGAAACTGATACGATGGCAGCTCGTATATGTCAAAAGCACCTTATTGCTCTTGTAGTTTTGAGTCGTCTCAGGCTGGCAGGGTTTCTAATACACAGTGTTAGGGGTGCATTTTACACTGTATAGATCCCTCTTAGCAAGAGAAAGAGACAGAGGGAGAAAGAGAGACAGAGGGAGAGACGGGGAGAGAGAGAGAGAGAGAGAAGCCCTCTTTGGAAAACAGATACATCAGTGTGCCTGTATAGTGTACGACATTGCTGTGAGTTAATCAGTTGGAAAATAAAACGGTGGGATTCTAATAAGTCATTTGTCAATTTTTACAACCCCCAGACACATTGATCCATGGGGATTAATGAAGATGCCTGATATTGTTGTAGATATGAACAGGGGAGATGGTGGGGACAGTAATCAGTCATGTTGGGGATTTGTCCTACCTCGTTTTCTCTTCCTGGGGAGTCACTCCGTACGGGGGCTCACTTCATCTGAGAGGGAGAGCAAAGGAGGAACATTAAAAACCCAGACGCTGATTATTCCGGTGTATATGCATGCACACACGTGTTCTCGAGAAATCCATACATTTACCCAACTCATCTAATCTACAGTGGTTGACATAATGTAGCCAGCCTCGAGATGATGCAAAAGGAAAATGTGTACTTTTGTTCGCTCCTGTCCTTTTGATATACAGTATAAAGGTCCACAGATACCCAGGCCCCACATCACAGCTGGGGGAAAGGGGTTAGCGACCAAGGGAGGGGGGCAACAGGGAAGCTTTAGTTTGTAAAGCCCATTGAAGCATGGGGAGCTGTCGCAGAGTACAGTTGACTCTGTCTGTGCATATTTCAGCAGTTTGCCAGTAATAATTTACTAACAGGGAGTAATCCTAAGATCAGACTTAGGTGAAAATATCTGTTTCCTACTCCTTAGCTAAGAGTGACTCCGCACAGTCTTGCAGATTAAAAAATAAATAAATCACTTCCCCATGAAACCTCAGTGGCAAAAATGACTTAATAAAGATAAAAAGATTCCTGGATCAAACCCTGCTTTGGTAACTGAAGGGTGAAAGTAGGTAATGGGAGAAAATACACTGTGCTGGCTCCTTATTCATACTGTGCTATATTCATCTACAAGGCTGAAATATAAAGTTGACGATTACAACTATACGTCTTTCTCTTCTATGCTTCTATGCAGAAAAGCACAGTGTCTTATATGACATCCATTAACCCAGGCACAGTGTTACATCAGGACAGAAACTGACTTTGGCAGAACCAGTTGAGTCACTCTTAAATCCTCTCAAAAGTTTCCTAACCTTGAGAGCCCATGCATCCCCCGAAAAAGTAATAATAATTCTAACCTGATCTTCCTACTTATTTTATATCTCCCCTCAGCAACCTAACTTCTTCTCGGCAACAGTGCAGTTATTAATTCATGAGGCACTAATTAGTTCTTTGTTTAATTTTGTGTTAAACAGACTGACCGGAATGATAACGACTCGCGCTGTAGCGCTTCGGTCCCATGCCACTCCTGTTTGCTACAACAAGGGAGCATCGTGCGACTAGCATGATGAACCCAATTCCCTTCTAAGTTGCACTTCATTAAGTCAAAATGTGACAAGGAGCTTAGAGGAAGAACTGGCAGATCTGATCATACATAACAATGCAGGCCCAGTAAGTTTGAGGGGGGTGGGGAGGTGGAGGGGGGTTGCTTGTGCGGGAGGTGGTGTGTGGGGGGGTTGGGGGGGGGGAGTGGATTCCAGCATGCATGTTGATAATTTTCTATTTTTAACCCTTGGGGGCCGTCTTTCATTTTCCTTTAATTGTTTTTGTTCAGAGCTGCAGTGTCCTCTTTTTAAATTGCAGCTCCTATCAACTCCCCTGATCAACCCCCTGTGCAACATTGCAGGCAGACAAGTAAACAACAGGGTTGCCCTTTTCCATGATGTAGTGCAGATGCTCCAGTAAAATCGGTGACACTTTTAGCACTGCACATACACATACAGTATATGTATGCACCCGCTCAAAAGGAATAGTTGCATGACGTGTCAGAGGTGCAGCAGTGACGATCAAAATGAACTCGAAAAGTACCGTTTTTGGCCTTGCAAGTAGAAAAACCTGCTGAGTGAAAGCAAAGGTAACAGGCAAATGCTCATTCATAATGTAAGAATGCATCAAGGTGGTTCCATCTGCCCATATCTTACATACCTTCTTCAAGATGTTTGTGCTGGATATGTGCTTGAAAAATGTACTCATAAGACTCACAAAGATTTTTTTGTTATCTGCAGAGCTGATGCCAAGTTTACTATCTGGAGGCTTCTAATTATAATTGTCCCCAAAAAGTTCAGTGCTGTCTAGATAACCCCTTCCTTACATACTCAGGTATGACACGACAGCATATACTTTAACTTGACACAATGCCTGAACCTCAAGAGAAGCTGTGCACATAGGTAAACACCTCAATAAAATACAATCATTGACTTTGTACATGTGGCAGAAAGCACTTTCATTTGCAAACTGGGGGGATTTATTTTTTTTTTCACTGCAAATCATCAGCTGACAAGCTCCGCTAAGATGTTTAGCCTCTCCAAGTATCTTCCCACTGGCTGAAGATATGATAAAATCAAAAAGCAGACAAGTAATTACACTGTATAATAGGCAAGATTGGCATTTTCAAAATCATTTTCATGTGGATGGAAATGACATTGCATAGACTATTCTGTATTCACTGGTGCAGATAAATAAACAAGGCATGGAGAAGAAGGGGGGCATACAGAACGCACAGTACAATGGCAAGCAGGTCAGTAATTAGAAACTCTGTTTGCACAGTAATAATTTTAATATATTCATCAGGAAACAGAGCATGCCTAGCATGATAAAATCCCATCAAGGAACATATCCCGACTGCCTTAACCTTTTAAACAGGCTGGCAGCACATTGTTGAGAACCTGAAAGAACTAAATAAATAAATACATACACAGAAGTTATAATAAGATGCAGCTACACCCATCACTATATTTTGAAATTTCAACGTTATCAGCTATCATTATGGCATGACTTTCCTTATGCTTAAATTCTTAAATATGAACCTGCAGCTAAATGTGCTTCTGTAGCTTTTGACCTCCTTTATCCAAATGTGACCAGGCTAAAGCCCTCTAACACTGAAACACGTTCAGCTCTGATTGCATGAGTGTAAAGAGCAACACATGTGTGTAACCTTGTTTGTTATTGAAGGTGGCAGTGATGATGCTATGGAAATTATTGCAAATTGCTTAAAGGACTCCTGACATGCAAAAACCTTGACCTCACGATGCTACCTCCCAAAGACGGGGAATGCGTAATTGTTGGAGAAATTCAAGGTGGAGCACGAAGGTAATCACCATGAACAACATTTTACAGAAGTGAAAATAGCTTAAAGCCATTCATGTGTGAAATATACGGCTGCATGCATGCATGCATATTTTAATGTGATAAACACGCTTAATGCAGACCAAACCCGCATCCAGTAAAGTTCTCTTAAACTTAAAGTTGGTAAACAAGTTAAGCTGGTACATCACACCGTAGTGTCTCACTTATTACAAATTTAAATAACAGGAACACACAAATAAGCGCTCAGCTGAACAGAACAGTTTAAAATAATAATCCTCTTTGCTGTAATGACTGCCAATCTATTGTCTAAGTTTCCTGGTTTCATTTCCCACACATAAACTCAGAAACTTACAAGTTTACGTGACCTCATTCTTCATGAAACAACCTCTAATTACATGAAGTGGAAGCCGCAACAAGAATACACTTCTCACTGAATAGGTCTGTACTTGGTGTTTCCTGGTCCGTGTTTCGTTCTGAGTTTTTCCAACGCACTGCAGAGTGAGAAACTGACCATTTACTCATGCATATTTGACAGCACCTAGTAGGCCCCTTTTTGTGCTGTCACTTCTGGCTCCTATTCTCCCTTTCCCCTAGGAGAGGACAGAGTCGGGGGCTTGAGGGCAGCTACCTCCACAGTCCCGCTGTCCCCTCCTCGCCTAATTTTTGTTGTCCAGCCCTTTGAAACCTCAATCTCATGCAGAACCAAAGAATGGTGATCCATGTGCAACAAGTGCCGGTGCCATGGAAACCCCCGTTTTCCCCCCAAAATATTCCTTTTTATCCCTTTTGAAGACCTGTCACCGGGCAGAGCAGGCATCACACGACCCCAGGCCAAGCCATGACAAAGCCTATTTTCTGCCTGCTTCTTGATTGATTAAAAAAGACTTTTTAGTAAAACCATGTTAAAGGACACAAAAAGTGACACGCAGAAGAAAGGGCCCTCGGGGATGGCCCAATCAGACGGGTTCCCCGGTAATATCGCACAGAAAAAAAGGAACAATATCATAATCGCCACAAAGAAAGGGTCAGGATAAGCATGACACTTGACAACAATGGTGATTACGATAATGATAGTAAAAGTTTGGGATTTGGTTATCAGACAACTGGACACTAGATATTTTATTAGCCATTTAAAATCATGTGAACTTAAACATACCGACTTCCTGTTTGGTCAACAATGCTCTGCCCAGCCGATTCAAATGACAGCATATTATCTTGGCATATTCACAGTATAGTATACGTCTGTATTATAATAAACGCCTTTTGCATTAGGTTCCTGCCACACTTGAGAGAAAAATTATACATGTAGTGTTGTTGTAGTGTTGTTGTGTGTGGCTCGTGTGTGATATGGGATCAATATTCTATGCATCGGACATTTTACTCCTCCAGTTGACCTAAGTGACAGACCATTTAAAACAGAGGGAGACTGGCTCAGCTACTCTGCACAACACCAAAGGGAGACCACATTATTAATTTATCTCAAAAGCACAGGTCGATATGAGAAGCCTATTGCTTACATGTTTTCTTTTTGTTGGCAGTTTTTGTGTCATATACCGTGGCTTTAAATATCTGCCTTCTTTATGTGATTTGATAGTCGGACCGGGGATGTCAAACAGGATAGAAATGAGTTGTGTTGTGTGAAAACTGTTGTTTTATCGTGTCATAAAAACAGGGATACTTTCAGCAGCCTTAAAGAAAGAAAGCTGCTCCTGTCTCTTTGTTTCTGTGTAGAGATGTGGAGGAGATATTTACCAAGACGATAGGGAGGGGTGGGGGGATGTAGAGAGGAGGAGAGGCATTAGAAGCGTCCACACATAAGCAATTAGTATTCCAGATCCTGATGGTTCGAAACACAAAAAGGCCTCACCAAATCCCCACGGCGGAGGTGTCAGACGGAAAATGACGAAAATCTGCTCCTTGACAGGGAGTCATTTATATTTTAGCTTCGTTCCATTATCTTAACGAATCCATCATCAGCCAATGCAATATTAACAGCAGAAAATCAACTCATTAGATCCAGGGGGATTTAATCAAGATTGCAATCATGTATGCGGTTCCTGGAGAGTTGGCTTCTTCTTTTTTTTTTTCTTTTTGGTCCTTTCCACGTAATTGCCGCATCTCAG